AGTTAATTTCTTCATACCCATCTATCTAAGCTTATATATATACAAAAAAGGGGGAAAGTCAATATATTATTACAGATAATATTGAAATTTTATAAAATAGCACGGTAACGTTAATCTTAGTTAATCGGTTAGAATTCTTTGTGTTTTGCTACTACGTCAATTTCTAAAGGTTTAACTGATTACAAGTGGGAATGGTTGATGCTACAATAAGAGGGTGCGAGTGAATAGCAATAGTGGCAAGAAAAAAAGAATAGAATATGAATATCATTACTAAGAATTGATATTATTCGTATCAAAGAAACTGGAACATATAAATATAACCTAACTGTGAGTATTTTTATTCATTGAGCAAAGAAAACCTGGAAGACCAAAGAAGGAAATTTCAAGAGCTAACCTAGAGAATCTGCGCCTCGGACTGGAACTAATTGCGCGGACTTGAAATCCCGTCCAGTCCTCATTGTCGGACTTGAAACATTACATCGAGCGCAGTGTTTTCCTTCACGGACCAACCTATAGCCGGTAAATAACATTTGTATTTTTTTTTATTTGTATTTTATGCAACTTTGCTCCGTCGGACCGGACAGATCGTGAAAAACCGGACCGCGCACTAGCCAATCACAGCGAGCAAATGCCTAGCATACCGAACCGAACAAAAAATAGAAAGCCTTATTTTTAAGAATTTTATCTTAGAATGAGAACGAAAACAAACGGTTTGCAAAACGTTTTGCTGCAAGATATAATAAACATGAAGGCAAAGCATGTTATATCAATGTTTATAGTATTATATGTGTTATTGAATGTAAGNTATAAATTACAAATATCTCGAGTTGTCATTTTTTTTTGCGATTTATAAATCTCAACTTTTTGGATTTTTGTGGTTTATAAATAGTAAAACTCTTGAGTTTTCATTTTTTTGCGATATATATATCGCACTTTCCTAATTTTTGTGATATGAATTACAAATATCTCGAGTTGTCATTTTTTTGCGATTTATAAATCGTAAACTTTTGGGATTTTTGTTATTTATAAATAGTAAAACTCTTGAGTTGTAATTTTTGCGATATATAAATCTCAATGTTTTGGATTTCTCAATTTTTGCGATTTACAAATAGCAAATCCTTAGATCGCTCAATATTGGTGATTTATAAATCGCATATTTTTCGTGGACAAATTTACGTTATTTATAAACAACTAAATATATTGCACAAAATTTATAGAAAACTTTGATAAATAATAAATTTACAAACGGCACCCCATACTCTGATGTTCGAAATCCTTAGCGTTAAAAGACATTCGAAAGTTAAATATTTGATGCCATGATGCGATAACAGYAGTAATAAATTCGGATTAGACGAAACTACCACGAAAAGAAGCGTACTCAGATTGAGTTTCCCTGACAATTAGAAAAGATTCTGCCARCTATAATAGACCGTAAATGATAGGATGTTTTGGTCATTAATCACATAAAGATGTTTAAACAGGAAAAACAAAAGAGGCTCTCTTTTCAACACGCGACAATTGACACTCACTATGCACCTGCGCCATAATCATCTCTCAGTCGTAGAACCATTCGTTAAAGAAATAATTTGATATTTTAGCAATCTTTTTATTTGTATCTTCTACATTTTTCTTTGCATGCTTTGTAAACGTATTTTTGATAAGAAATACCTTATTCTACTCTCGGTTTTAGACAAGTTGAGGGGATTTCTTTGCGTTTAGATATCATAATTTTCATCAGTTAATGAATTCAAACATATATTTTTCTTAAAAAAAATAATAGCAAAATCTATTAAAAAATACCCTAAAATACAAAAATAAAAAAAAATAAAATACAAAAAGGAGGACTGATAGCTTACAAACCATTTCTTGCAACGTAAATTTCAACAGCAGGTTCTTGGATATAAAATGTTGAATATAAACAAAACGATCTTTTGTTACAATGAATTCAATCAGGACTATAATATAATTACAAAACAGCTCTATTTCGAAACTTATATTGAATWAACTTCCAAATTCGATTAGTAATTGAGCTGTAACAACATTTCAAATTAAAAGAGTTTCCTTTGCGATTCTCCAATAAMTGTAAAATAGTGGAATAGCTGTACGTGGAGATGAAATGTTCAAGGGCTTGATCCATAGTCCAACGTATATTTTCTTTTATAATTTACCTTTTTNTTCTTGCTAAGAAATTATTTATATCACATACATTCACAGTCTTGCAAGTAATCTCTCCAGTACACAACAGCAATTTCTTGTTTGCTTCTTAAATTGGAGCCCATTTCTGCATAGTCGATGACAAATAAACTGTCTATGGTCTGGGCGTCAATTTTCGAATTACTTTTACTAGGGACGAAAATGTCCCTGAATTCTTCTTGAAATTCGTGCAATTTTTGGAGAACACCAAGAGTTTCCAACCCTGACTTGAGGTCTTCCAGAAAGGACCTGGGCGCGTCTACAATGATATGCCTCACTATTAGATTGCACAGCCAATCTTTGTCGTCGATGGACTTGATAAGGGCTGTGGCAACTCCCTGGGCCTCCAGAATGGTGGAGATTTCAGGAACCGAGAGGTTCTTTCTGAGTTCTTCTAGATTTGACGATGACGCTATCTGTTTAGTAAGATATCGTTATTTTTTAGGATACTACAATAAGTCAGATGAAGGATTAGCATACCAAACGGGAAGCAAGGAGGGCAGACGACGACTGGATACAAAGCTAATTGTTTTTCGGACAAAGACAATCCCTTTGTTTAACATACATTTTCTGGTTCTGTTTACATTTGCAATTTTAAGATGATATTAGAATAGTGTTTTTTTTTAGTATTTTCATCAAGAATGCAAACTAATTGATATTTCAATTAGCTACATGGTGATTCCTAATGCTAATTTAGATAGCTGTAAAAGTATGATGTTCTTACTTACTTTGTACACATTCCTTCAAAGAAGGGTCTGCGATATCCTCTTTTCTAACCACTGTAACCCCATTTGACGATAAAGCATTGTACAGTGATGTACTAAAAAAGCTTGGGGCAGGGCCGCCATGTACAATTGCCCACGCCAGGATGGTTCCTGTGAACCTATATAGGTCCTTTTCTCGAGCTACAAAGAAAAAGAAAACTTATCTTTTTTGTTTATAAAGAAAACATACATAGTTACATTTTTGACACAGTTCAATCATGCCAGAACCTGCATTAAAGAGTAATTGTCTTACCTGAGGCATTAGCCTGTAGTGTTCGGCCATCAATGGGGCCGCAAAAAACACCAGACTGCTCGTTCACTGCCTTGACTAGCAGTCTTAAAAATTCCCGTCGTGGTCCCCCTGCGTCAATCGCTCCCTCCCCGACTCCGTGGTCGTCTGCAAATCGTACAGAGATTGTTGTTTTTTGGTCAAAGCGTTTTCGTTTTAGAAATCTAATAGTATCCTCAAGTACAAATTGTCTGCGTATGTTGATACTTGAGACGCTATTGGATTCTGTAAGAGGCGCTTGCAGCTTGTCCAATATATCTGTTATGGGTGTCAAGGTTTGGCTGTTGTCACTGAAAGAGGGAGCGTTCTTGAATTATTTAAAAATTTCTTAACTAACTATGTTAATACTAAACATAAAAAAATAAGCGATGCTTTCACTAATGTTTGTTAGATATCCGACGGCCATTCCTTAGCTATTCCTTCCTTATAGAATATGGCCTCAATATATTTAAAAAAAAATTATAGCATAAACCATAGCTTATCAGGATATTAACTATGCATAAACACAAATAAACAATAGATGATTGCCTGTATATGACCTCACAAGACCTTTAAAAAGTCTCGGTGTGCTGATTCTAAGTGTTTCTTTAAAGAAACTTCATTAAACGGGTACAGAGGGCTTTACCTTTCAGATTTATGATCAACTTCATCTTAATCGGAAGGTATTTCTATTATTTCTTTATATATGAGTGATGCATAAGAACTGAAAAAGAAAGCAAATGAAATAAAGATATGATGTCTGCGTTACCCTTGGGCTGACTCATCACCATTACCTGAATATATTTGAGGAACTTGAGATGTTGGCATCCGCATTTTCATTTCTAGATAAGGTTAAATATTATTTGAGATATTGTCGCCTGAGTATCAAACTGTTTAAGGAAAGTTCACACGTGTGAAGAGCGCAAAATGAATCGTATTTATCCGAATGTTTCTCTAGCCCGAAACACCGATCACATACAACAAGAACGTTTGGACGCTAAGTGTATTCACACAAAGATAATTTTTCAGAAAAAATATCAGAAGTGCATGTGGGTGTTGCCTAAATGATAATTGAAACAAATTTATCAAACATTCCTTGCGTGCGATAGTCTTGTCCTTTTTTCAAGCTCGGAAATATCAGAACGCCTTATAAGGGCGCTTGTGTTTTTTGGCGTTGTTTCTTTACTAATATACACCTACATGCGAAAACGTTGTCATAAAAAATAGGACATTTGTATTTTAGTAAAAAGGAATAAATTAAAGAGACAAAAGAAGGTCACTGAGGCTGAACGCTTTCTTTTGTTTTGTTTTAATTAATTCCTTTTTACTAAATTCGAATGTTCTATTTTCTATGACAACGTTTCTGCAAGTAGGTGTATATACCTGCAAGTATTTCCTTTGGAGTCACCAAATACTGGATGCATTAAAGACTCGTCTGAAGAGTCCTGAAAGCATATATACGTAAAATATAATCAAGCTTAAATGTTTTAAAATTATAGCTAGAAAGAGTCACAAAAAAAAAAACTAAATAAATATATTTTTCAAAATATTTTTATTCAGTTTTTATAATCTAGCTTGTATAGGCCCCTTGCAGTTCGTGGGAATGCAATTCCAACTGGAGGACATACCAATGGATTCTAGTTCCCAAGAGGGCAAAAATCTTTTGTGTTGTCCTCCAGATGAAGCTGCTTTGACGTCACATGCAAGGGGTCTATACTTTTAATGTTGATCTTTTTTCTTGAAAACAGTATTGATCATTGTTTANGTAAATTTCAACAGCAGGTTCTTGGATATAAAATGTTGAATATAAACAAAACGATCTTTTGTTACAATGAATTCAATCAGGACTATAATATAATTACAAAACAGCTCTATTTCGAAACTTATATTGAATAAACTTCCAAATTCGATTAGTAATTGAGCTGTAACAACATTTCAAATTAAAAGAGTTTCCTTTGCGATTCTCCAATAACTGTAAAATAGTGGAATAGCTGTACGTGGAGATGAAATGTTCAAGGGCTTGATCCATAGTCCAACGTATATTTTCTTTTATAATTTACCTTTTTCCTCGTATTAAAGCAATGAGCGACTGTAACATATCTCCTTCAAGCATTCTTTCAGTGACTTTGCCTTTTTCAATTCCAAAACAGATATGCCCTCGGTAGAGTTTCCGTCCACAAGGCGATTGTAACACCCGTGGTAAATCAATGAATGAAACTGGAATGACCTTCGAACGAATCGCTTTCTCCCGACAGTGTTGGAAATACTGGTTGATAGTCTTGCCATCAAAATTCACTTCAGTTCCTCCTTCTGCTTTAAAAATCAAACTTTGTTCGTTGTCAATAAGTTCTGTAGTTCTGGGCGAAGAAATAAGRATAATGCAATCGCAGCTTTCGAGTTCGTTCTCGAGATTAAGACGTCGAGTTTGAATGTCAACCAAGTCTACAATGTCCGCATCACCGTTTGACTCACTTTCAATAACAGTACGAAGTTTATCCGCATTTTCTAAATTCTCTTCACTAAAGAGAAGTAAAACCCTCTTAAAGGTTGTTCGCTTCGCCATTTCTACTATATTTGTGAATATATAATGCCCTCGTGGGTATTGGCTGGTGCCACAAGCTGCAGGCTACTCGTTTCTAGGTGATGAAAATTTTTCCGAAATATCCAAAATCGGCAGTATAATTTAAAAAAAAAATTTTCATGAGATGCGACAACAGCAATCGTTATAATTATGAAATACAGAGAAAAAATAGATTGTTTTCAAGTGTCGTTTCGAAAGTCATTATATTGTTTCGGTATTTTRTTTCACTTTGGTCGTTTTGATATATCGGTTTCGTAACATATGCCAGTCTCGCTTTACCGCTATCTTGCCACAAATTTATCATTCAGTTTTAAATAATTTATGAATCTAAAGAAAATGTTTAATTGTTGAAGTCTTTAGTTTTAATCATTTCATGACCTACACCATCCGGTATACCAGATCGCCGAGGTATTCTAACATGATTCTAAAACCGATACTAAAGCGATCAATATTAGTAAAGAAGACAACGAATATTACTAAAGAAGACCATTATGGAAACGCTAAAAATTGGAAATTACCTAAATCCAATATCATTTATAAAAGTTAGCAGCCAAACTTATGAAAAATTTAAAATGAAAATATTTTTTTAAGAAAAAATTCTGCACTTTTGCTCTTGTTTATACAGAGTAATTTATTAAACGAGGATCACATCTGCAGAATAGTCCATTTATTTTCACATGCATCGATCATATATCAGAGAAAAAAGAGTATAAAGGAGTATTTTTT